CCAAATTCGAAAGCGGAGCTGATCTCCGCGCAAGTACGAATTCGACCGAGGATCGCTGAGCGTGCCCGAAGTCTAAAAAGCATTCTTATCGCAGAGCAACATCCGAGCGTCTCCGAATTTCCCCGAACCGTACCGGAGATAAAAAAATTGCTGATCCCATTAGAACATGTGGCGGTTTGATTACCGCTCACGATCCGATTTGAACCGTTCCGAATCCGTTTGAATATTAGATTGTGATAGTATAAAAAGTCGTCCTTTGTCGAAGAGAACAGATCTTCTTCGGATCACGCTCGCTCCCACGAATTGATCCGGCACTCCGCTCCTACAAAGAGTCGTAACAAAACCGAGATAAGGGAATCCCGCCGCCACCTAGAAATTCCCGGCAAAAGCTAAGTTCTCTTTTCCGATCCGATCTCCGCTTCCTACAATCGAGAAGAACAATCACAAGTTGGGGTGTTCCCTGCTCCATCGAGAAATTGGCATCCGATTGCTCACAGTACCATTCAACAAATCAAGCGAATTGAGGTAAGAGCAATCCGCCTCCGCCCGGATCACTCACCCGGGTGATCCCGGCCAATCGCATTCCCAAACCCGCGTGTAAATTTTGAGCGAGAACGCATCGCCGCGGTGAGGGTAATCCGCCATCATCCGAGGAATTCCCGCCCGATCGTTTCCTCCGAAAAGAATTCAAGTGCATCCGCGGGTCATCCGCAATAATCCGCTCTAACCAGCCATCTTTACGCACCGCGATACATACATATAGATTCATCGATCAGGATATAGATTGAAATCGCAAACACCGCCTACTTGCGAATCAGCACGTCTAACAAGGAGATACAACCAAGTGTCCCCGTCCCGATTTTAATGAACTTCGAATATGTTAAAATATAGACAAAACTAAGAGAGAGACGTATTTTTTATAAGTGCTGAGCTGCATGTTAAGAGGGTGAAACTTCCTTTTAAAAAAAATCGGTTTTTTCGTTCAAAGAGAATATCGTCAAAACTATAACAGATAGAGAAAAAAATTTTTATGCAAAAGTTAAATCATTTCAAAAATATTTAAAAAAAAAATAAAAAGATTTTTTAAACTTTTTTTAATTTCCCCCACTACTCCATATCTATATTTTTGAAATTTAATTTTGAAATTTTTAATGACTAAATTAAAGATTATTTTTATACGAATTCAACCATATATGATAAACTTATTTTCCGAAATATCATTTTTGAGTAATAATTATAAATCTCTACATGTACATACTATTCGTACTCGTCTATGCGCTTGATTCTTCGCGCTGAACGAATTTCGTTTCATACTGCACTGATTACGCGAGAGAGCAAATCAATACAGTACATTGAATATTGAAATAAGAGTTGTATAATAATAATAATAATAGTAATAACAATATTATAAGTAATAATAAAATAGCAGTGAGTTTATTAAATCAGTCTAATATTTTAAAATCAGTCTAATATTTTAACGATATGTTAACGTATATACTGAATACATTAGACAATTAAAAACAAATTATTATATGATTAAAGAAAACAAATTATCGTATTTACGAAACATCGTTTATTTAACTTTGATTATAGAGCAGCTAATTGCAGCTAATTACTTAAGGTTTAGTTTTTCTCTTATTATATACATGAGTAATAAAAAAAGACCTGTAATATTTCAAAAGCTTGAGCTTCTTCATATTTCATTATACCTAACTTTATGATTTTTGTACATGTTTTTGAATTAATTTTTGTACATTTTTCTCAAATATTATTTTCCAGATATTTTACCGATTGAGGACTTTTTAAGCAACTTAACTTGTAGAATATTAAATGTTAATACTTTTATTTTATTTTATTTATATTTTAGAGTACAAATAAATAATGTATATTTTTGATAAACTGTAATATAATTAAGCCATGATAATTTTATAAGCATTATCTTTACAAGTAATGAATTGCAGTATCAATATTTACGGTTCATATGATTGCAAAGATGATGATCGTGAAAGAAATGCGTTACAAAAAGATTTTTTGCACCATGCGCAAATAATTAGACACTTCATCATAGATTGATTTTGACTGTTTTTTAAAACAGAAATCTACAGAAGTATCAAATTCAAGTGTTTTATATTCTAAATAATCGCTTTTGTACTATGCATATTTGAATCAGTTCATAAATTTTGATGATGAAAATTGATTATTCGGATGATATATCGGATTAACGATTGTAATTTTAAAATAGCGTTTCTTAAATAAAGCTTTATTTCAAGATCTAGAAGCATGACGATATCTGAAAAATAAATGACGATGTCTGATAAAATTCTTCCACAAACGGAAGCCAAATACATTTAACGGTTGTATTCTTCCAGTTGTTCCAGCTGGTTAGTTAATAAAAGTATACATAGTTAACAAAACAATATCTTCTGCATATTCTGGTCTACTTCTTTGAATTATATCAGAACAATGACCAATCCATGAATCTAATAATAAAACTGATTTTGATCCAATATTTGAGAAATATACTTCTTTTAACCAAATTTCAAAGTGATGAGATAATAGTTTCTCAGATTTCGATGCCATTAGATGCGAAGATATTGTTTCCTGTAAATATTATCTCTTGTACTCTTGGACCTAATGTCCTATTAGTTTCTCTTAATACTATAAAAAGAAGAGAAAAACAATCTACCATCAGCTGAAATAATAGGCTGTATTGTGTAACTATGTGTAATTGCAGATATTGCATTACAAATTCTACTTTAGCTCTATCTTCACAAATCGATCAATCCCATACATCACAATAGTATGTAATTATTATTATATTAGGTATTATTCTTTTAAACAGTGAAATTCTATCACTTGGGTTTTATTTTTTAAGAATAGTTGTAAATAATTTACATACTTTGGCGCCAATTGATATCAAATCTTTCGTACAGATAGTATACATGATATTATTTAAATAATATCAGATTGATACATATTATTTAAATTAAGTCAGGTAATGCAATTTCATACATCTATTTTTTTTAAATCAGAACTACTGTCATTTCAGTTTTAGAATAAGAAGACTTTAATGAGAATATAAAGATACGTACTTGGATTTTATTCTTTAAAAGCAAGTATATTGAACCTTCGAAATAATGTAAGTATAAGTTGGCGCTATTTTTTTATATGAAATTTTTTTATACAAATACAATTTTTATACATATTATTAAAAGTGAATATTATATATTACTTGAACATCAGTAAGATTACGTAATTTTATAATATAATATAATATTTGAATTGAAATAAAAAAGACTCTTAGGTGTGTAACGATACACCAGAATCACTCCTCTCTCCATAACTAAATTAAATTTTATAACGGCGTAAAATTGTATTTCATGCCCCCGATCGACCATCCGTTAGGGTACCGACACGGCGATCCCACCGTCGAATAATTCGCGTCAATCAACGGACGCAACAGTTAAAATTCGAATAGTGCGAATTTATGAATGACACCTGAATCACGATAGTCCGCGCGTTAGTTGGACCGCCGCTGGCCCCGCTACCGACCGCGCCAAATATATTCATGAAATCGCCGAGCCAATGATTTTCACCTATTACCATAAAACGGTCTCGCTTTCCCGCACGGATAGCGGTTAGTCGATTACCGGGGAGCAGGGATGTTGGAGACAAAATTTTGGTGTAAAGATTCGAGTTAGATTATAGGCGAAATTATATTATAATAATAGTTTATTGAAATAAAAAGAAATAACACTATATAGTATCGGATGGGAATGCACAAATAACCAAAAGGAACGCGAATAGAATGAACCGTGAACGAGCAAGACGGTGATCGGCGCGTGTTTATAGTTTTTACGCAGATGAAGTATCGCTCCGGCAGTCGGCGCGATACTGGTATCGCTGCGCGTAACTCGGTGACGCGGGGTGCGCGCAGCGGGCGGCGGTGTCGCACGTGTGGTCGCGGACCTTTAAATCTTCGGGCGATTTAAATCGCGTGTTAGAAACGCGGACGTTGTCTGTGTCGCGAGGGTGGAATTTCCGCGAGAGGATTTCTAATCGGAGAACAGGAGTGCCCGTTCTCTGCCGAGTGTACTCGGCTGATGGGAGATGTGCCTCGTTTGTATGAAAAATGCCGAGTGAACTCGGCCAGCCGGGGAGAGTCCCGGCTGTGGCGGAAGGCATCGGTGCCGGTGTCTGTGCCGGTGTCTGTGTTCGGCCGATCGGGGTGTACCCCGATGCTCGGAATCGGTCGGATGGAAGTACGATTGTATCGGGGGGGCACCCCGATACGGTGGTGGAATTCGGAAACGGCGGAGTCGGATCGAGCGGACTCGCTGCGCTGGGGAGGGCCCCAACAGATCTCAGGCTTTCTACCAAAATCAGTTCGGATACTTGCTTTCCTCGAGACGTGCTCTTAGAAGATGAGCGCGGAACAAGATGATTTTCTGTGGAGAATGATTTCGCCTTTTTATACCTGAGATCGACCTTAGTATTTTTCGGTCGGATCGGTCGGATTGGTCGATCTTGGGAGTAGCATCCCTCTCCACAGGAGCGGAGAAAAAAGATTGGATAATTGATTTTTTGGGATGATAAGGAATTGGAGCGAGGATGTGGAAGAGTAGGAAGAGGAGTTCGGTAGTGATGTAACGGCGCGGCGCGGGGTCGGTTACGCGCTTGTAGACGCGATCGTGGCGCGGTGTGGGACGCTCGTTCGCTTGCGTAGCATGGTGTTGGTGCGACGCGGGGCGCATTCGCGCTTGCTGGTACGACGCGTGGTGCGGTGCGGGGCGCTCTAGCGCTTGCTGGCGTGACATATGGCGCGGCGCGGGGGGGAATACCGAGAAAATATTCGTATTTTCGCGACATTCCTTCGCTATTCTCCGACGCTTCGGAGTTTTCGCTAATTTATATAAGATTAAAAGAAGTGTAAACGCCTTTTGCGGTCACTGCCGCACTCCGCCTGTTGGTCGGTCGGAGGAAAATCGGAAGGGCGCTCCGTTACAACCAGCAAAGAATCCAATGCTGATTTCGGTAAATACTTCTGAATCTAAAGGCGATCCTAGGATGCTTCCTAGCAAGCCTAAGAGCTCCTGGCAGATCGCTCCCATCTCTGAAGCATGAGATTATTCTCAAGTTAAGGCGCTTCTTAACTTGGTCCCTCAGGTAGGTCTTGTGTGCAACTTCTATCGCTGTTGGTAACAGAGCGGGGAGCTTCGAGCCGCAGCAAATTCTAAGTCCCGATTCTAGCCCGAAAATCCGTCCAAAAAAAACTGTTACGAGACGATACGTTTAACAGACGAATAGCTGTTCGACCACGCGACAAACACCACGCATTTCGTGCACTGTCTCACACGGCGCGCTTACAAACGTGACGCGCCGAATTCATAAAAGAACCGCGAATCGAAAACTGTTATACGATTCCTGGAATCCGCGAATGATTTCTAAGAACAGCAAATATGATTCCGAGATTAAAATCTATGTCACACCAAGTTTTGTAAATATTGTAAATAGCAGTCAAAAGGAAGTTTGTAATCACCAATCAGTTGTAAATAGTATCCAATCTTTTATAAATATATACATATTAATCATCCAAACGCTTCTATATTTTATTTTTCACTCTCTCATCCTGATGATTTGACTGAAGCAATCCCGCAACCGTGAGAGCGAGTCACGAACCGAACTGACCCGACGCGTAATTTTAGATGCAAAGATATGTACTTGAGCTTTATTTTTATTTTTTTAGAAAGCTATAATTGATGCCATTAATTGATAATAAAATTTTAAAAGAAAATAAAAAAAATAACTGTTATCACTTGGGTTAAAAGAAAAAGTTTTTATACTTATCATTTGGGTTTTATTTTTTAAAAGCAGTTATATATTGAATTTTCGAGAAAATGTAACATTAATTTGGCGCCACGATAACAAGTAGTCAAAGCTAATTAAATAACAGGATGCTTAAATGATTTGATCTGGCGAAATAACCTACGAAATGATACAAAAGCCCAAATTTATAAAACAATTATCAGACCAATTATGACATATGCTGCAGAGACGAGATATGGCGAGGACAAGGCAACTATTGCAGACTAAAAAAATGAGAATTCTAAGACGGATATCGGGAAAAACGTTGAGAGATAGAGAAAGAAACGAAAAACATTAGGCAAGCACGCAATGTGGAAAACATCAATGATTGGGTGCTACAAAAGAAGGAATGGAATCAGCATATAAGTCGAATGACGGAAGATAGACGGTTCGAATCACTAGAGATAAATCACTGAACAGCAGATGTAATATAAGCCGACCAAGGAAAAGATGGAGTGATTGTCTAAAGCCGGAGGGGAGGCGAAAATCGATGGAACAGGTGCTAGCCTATAATAGAAGACAGAAAAAAAGGAGAAGAAGAACTTGGCGTTTTCTTGGCGTGGACTTTTTTGATACTAAATCTTTTATACAAATGGTATATATTATTAATGTGGTGTTGAGGATAAAGACAGAAATATTCGAGGCATGTTTATCTCGAAACTTTCCAACTGACGACTCTCGTCGCCTTACAAGTTAACACACACACAAATACACACGCACATTCATACGCGCCAACACACCTTGGCTGTCGCGGCCACATACACTACACTCCTCTCCGTTAAGTTTGTTTACATGATTTTTTTTCTTTTACAATCTTGTTACAATGTTTTTTCGTATGCAATCTCGGCGATCTGCACAACGATATTTTCGGGGCGACCTCTGTTTTCGATTTCGTTTCCCCGACTGTATTTCCTGCCTTTGCCGCGCTAGCGCGTACTAGCTGATCGACGTGCCGCTTGACTACTTCGCCCGAGCCTCCGCCGTATATGTTACGGGTCCCAACTTCTGATCGATCGTAGCTTCGGTCCATTGCGCATTGCGATTAAAATTTCTTGTCCATACTTCTTCTTCTCTCGCAAAACTTGCCTTTCTCTCTCTTTTTGCATTTCGTATTTGTCTCATCACCGCTTGTTCTTGTCGTTTGTTTATATCAGGTCGCATTAGATCAAATTTTATTCGAAGTTGTCTGCCTAGCATTAATTTTGCAGGTGTTTCTCTCGTCGTGCAATATTGGGTCGACCTATATTCCATTAGAAATGAATCTACCATTTTTTGTGCCGTTTTCCTATTTTTTAGCATAATTTTGAGTTTTCTTTTAAATGATTTTACTAGATTTTCTATTGCTCCATTTGATACTGGGGGAGTGTTTTATGGTCGACTGTATATGTTTAATCTCTGCTTTACTTAAAAACTTTTGGAAGTCGCTCATAAATTGCGATCTGTTGTCGCTGACTATTTGAATCGGAAGTCCGTGCCTCGCAAATGTTTGCCGGAACGCATTTATGATTTTTTTCGCGGTTGTCGATTTCATCACAAGAATCTCGGGCCATTTTGTCCTCGCATCTAACAGTAGAAAATTATGACCTTTGTACGATCCGAAGAAGTCGGTATGTACTCTTTCCCATGGTTTCTGTGGCCAGTTCCACGGGTGTAGCTTCTGGCGGGTTGTCACGGAATTCCGCGCAGTCGCGACAATTTCTCGCTAATTCCTCTATTTACTTATCTAGTTGTGGCACGATAATAAATGTGTACACATTAACATTGAACATCATAATGTTATATGGCACTGAAAAATGTCAATTGTTATTAATTGCGAACAGAGAGTTCCAGTGTGATAATTAAAAAATGGACGCTAAAAAGTACCATTATCTTTTCCTTCTTCAGGAAAAATAATAGATGATCCCTTGTAGATCCTTGAGTATTCTCCTAGTGTCTTCTTGGTCTCAATAGTGACATCCTCACTATGTACCTAAAACTGTAAATGAAAATTTATAACATTACAGCTAAATTATCAAGAAATTATACAGATTATACAAATAATAATGATGGCATGTAGAAAAATTAAAGCGATAAGACTTAAACAATAAATTAATCGATTTATCATAATCGAATATTCTCAATAAATTTATATTATGATTGATCGATTTACTTATTATTAAATCTTATCGTTACAACCGTTACAATCTTTTTATATGCTTACGGCTCTACGAAAGAAAGATAAAGTTGTTGCATACAATACTTATTCATCCATCGATTCCGCATTTTCATCCTGTGGCTCGTCGCTCTATAGATTACGGTCGGCAATTCTTACATTGGCTATCCGCATTAGCCCCGCATGTTTTATTTCTATGTTTCTTCTTAGCTGTCCGAAGAGCTTCTCGCATGTGCGTTTGGAATTCCAAGCGCGTCGCTCTATCGAAATACCGATTACTTACAGCTTTTGAAAAAGAAACACAATTGTGCAAAAATTATTTTGCAAAAACTTGCTATCAATAAAAATGTGTAAAGAAATTATTGTACCATAGATTGCCATAATAAGGCGGGAGTTATAAAGTAGTCGTTGTGAGTTTCGTAGCCCTCCTTCACGGCCGAACCAAGTGAATAAAGGTGTTATAGCATCCGTAAGCCCTTCCTTCAAGCAGAGATTAAGTGTTTCTTTTAAATTAAAGCCACCGACATAACGGAAATAATTCACTTAAATAATCAAAGTATTAAGAATTGAACATGTTATACAAAAATCATAAAGAACGCATAATTTTTTTCTTCAAGAACAATATATTATAATAAACATGGGCTAATAAACGAGCAAATTTCAAGTATAATTATTAGGTGTACAAAAAAGTTCTGAACTTTAGATTTCATACAACCGAAATAACAATTTAAATTTTATATATCTTCTCGTCCTTTTGCGGTTTTAAAGCGTTGACATTTGGCCTTCTAAAATGCCATATGGTTTGGCGTTTGATGCACATAACCTCAAAAATCAGTAATGTTCACGATGGCAATAACAAAAGAGCATATTCGATTTTCCATTCACTTCGCGTTTCATATGAAGAAAAGTGCTGCTGAAGCCACTGTAATGATTTGTGCTGCATATGAAGAGAACGCTGTAAGTCATACTACATGTAAAAGATGGTATCAACAATTTCGCCAAGTAAATTTCAGTCTTGAAGATGAACCGCGTGCTGGACGCCCTCAAAAGATTGAAACGGACGAATTGCAAGCACTGCTGGATATAAACTCTACGCAAACTGAAAAGGAGCTTGGCGGAACAGCTTGGCGTTACGCAGCAAACCATTTCCGTTTACATACGAACGGGAAAGGTTCAAAAGAAAAGCAGATAGGTTCCGCATGAATTGTCCGAAGACAACAAAAATCGTCGGCGTGACACTACACTCACTTTGCTTTTAAAGTTCCGGAAAAAAGATTTTCTGCACAAAATTATTACAGGCGATGAAAAGTGGATTCTTTATGATAATCCTAAACGTAGAAAATCATAGGTTGACCCTGGTTAACCTTCGACATCAACGCCAAAGCCCAATATCCACGCCAAGAAGGTTTTGTTCTATATCTGGTGGGATTGAAAAGGTGTGTTGTATTACAAATTGTTACAACCGGGTGAAACAATCACGGCAGACCGCTACCAACAACAATTGACCAATTTGAGCGATGCATTAGAAGAAAAGAGGCCATTTACTGGCCAAGGACGTCGTAAAGTGAGTCTTGCTTCATGACAATGCTCAACCACATGTTGCGAAAGCGACTCAGGACCATATCTTTAGGCTGGGAACTTCTCCCGCACGCGGTGTATAGCCCAGACATGGCGCCTTTCGATTACTACCTATTCCGGTCACTGCATCATTTGGCTGATACACATTTCGTGAGATTTGAAGAGATACGAAAATGCATTGATGACTTTATCGCTTCGAAGCCGGTGAGCTTCTATTGTCAAGGAATTCGTAAGCTACCCGAAAGATAGCTAAAGGTCGTTGATGCAAACAGGGAATATTTCGCTGATTAATATTTTTTTGTTTATTTTTGAATAAAGATTGAATTTTACAAAAAAAAGCTCAGAACTTTTTTGTACATCTAATATAAATAATATATTTGTACGACATTTTTTCGTTTATTGGCCTATGTTATATTACTATATTATTCTTGTAAATACGTGCCAGCTAATTTATTGATTCTTCTGTCAACTTACTATTTCGAAATAATCATTTTCATTGATATTTTCAAATATATCCATCTCTGCCAAAGATGAAATGGAAAGGATGATTGGTTTACGAATTATGCGACCTCGATTTTGAATTATTTTTAAAATATTTTTTAGTAGGGTGTTTGTTTTTCTATAAATGTAACGTTAAAAAGATTATTATTATACTCGTAGAAGTATTTCAATAAGTACGATACGATATATTTGATACTTCATCTCTGTCTCGATACAATTCAAATGCTCGTGTACTCTCCTGAAAATATCAATTGACATTAACAAGTGATGGATTTCTTCGGATGGCTTCTATCGAATCTATTTTTCTAAAAATAGACGGATCTATTTTCTAAAAATACATTTTTTTCATTCCTATCACAGATAAATATGATATACAAATTTATTGGTTGTCCAAGTCCATTGAAATCCCAGACTGCCAATTCTCAGGATGAATTAATCCTGACTGCTGGGAGGAAAGATAAAAGTTTTCCTGTCCCATAGATCTTGTATCCTGAAACTCAGAAATTGTATTTCTACAAGTTGCTCTTTTTTGCGCTGTATCAATAACAGTATCATTATGAAGTGTGCATGATTGAATGTTTATATTCGATTGATTGTCCCTGTGTGATTGAATACTCGCGTGGGAGTGAACACTTGTATGTGATTTAATATTTGGTTGGAAATGAATGCCTGTACGAGGTTGAATGTTCTCGTGTGATTGAACATGTGAGCCAATGCTTGTATGAGGTTGGTGTGATTGAATATTCGAGTGGGAGTGAACGCTTATATGAGATTGATCGTTCGTATATGGCTGAAGAATCATATACGATTGAACGTTTGTGTGTGGTTCAATATTCGTTTGTATTTCGTCGTGTGCATGCGATAATAAATATGTTTGCGTGCGAAGTATTGTGTTATTATGAAATGAATTTAAAATTTGATCCGAATTGGTATCCTCTTGCAGAATATTTCTAATATCGTCAATATCATCCTCTATTTCTGCAATCGTGATTGCAGTCGTTCTCTATTTCGAAGCTTCGCCCGAAGAAGTGATCTTATATCGTAATGGTTTTGTGATATTGCGCTTTGGCCGTTCCATCTTTATCTGTAAATACAAAAAATTAAGAAATTGTACAATGTGATTAAAAAATTTTAAGAAAGAATTAAGAAATTGTACATTATGATATGTACAATAGATGTAGTTTATATCGCAGGTGAATGTTACGAAACGATTTTCTTAAAAACCATTTTAATTCTAATAAAAAGTATAAATATTTATCAATTATTATCAATTAAAAATTTCAAAAGATAAGTGAAATTATCAACAATATTACGATATATATTATTATCTATCTCTCGGAGAATTAATAAAATATATCTTACGCTCTATAACATATATATGCAGCACGCGCGATATATATAATAAATTGATAACATTTCAGGGAAACCAATAATAAGTTGAGCATTAGACTATTATGTAATTAATATAATCATAAGAAGAAAATGTCATTTCTCTGTTAAAGCGGATCTTGTTTAATAAAATTTCAATATTCATTATTAAATATATATTTTCAATTTTATATAATTGCCGATACGGATTGTCGGAAAACGCAATCGTAGATTGAAATTAGAATTAATATGTATCTCACATTAAATTGATTATGATATTACAAGCATATTAAAAAATTATACAGAACGTAGTTATATATAATTGAACAAATATGTATATTTAAAATAATGAATATTGACATTTTATGAAGCACCAAAATCCGCTTTTGGAGAAATGGCATTTTCTTCTTATGATCGCAGGAAAAATATTTAATGCAATAATTTTTACCTGTAGAACGCATTGTCTTTTCTTATTTTGTATTTTACATATTCTTTCAAAGATCATGTAACACTATCAGGAGACACGGTAGTGTCTCGGGTGTCAAGTCAACCGAGAATACTGCCGTGTGACTTTAGCGAGTCGTCGAGGTTCGAGCATCTGAAATTATCGAATCTCAATAACGGCTATACTGATCAAGTTCTAAGTAGGCTTGATCGATAGCTTGAATCCGACTTGCATAATAAAATTTTTATTTTTCTGCTACGTGCCCTACAAGCAGAGATATTGCTACACAAAGTCTGATTTGGAAATTTTTACTTTAAAAAACGTCATTATCGTCGGGTGCAACGTCTGTCACAAGATGTCATTATTAATCTTATCGACCTAACGGATTATCAAACTGAAGTCAGGGTTATTGTAGAATCTAGCGAATCAATGTTCGCTGGGTCCTGCAGTGACCCTGATTTATCGGCCTAATTTATCCGCTGGGTCGATAAAATTGATTGATGTAAACACGGTAGTGTTTTTAGTTAGACTTCTCGGATATCAATATAATAATAAATACGCGTATATTAAAATTAAAAAGGAAACATTAGCAGTATTAATAAATTGCATACTACTATTATTCTTTTTCTGCACGTCCGAGTGGTGGCCAACGATGTTGACGTTCGCGGCGAATTTGACAATTTGTAATAATTTCGGAGTGTAACTCATGTTTGTGTTTATACTTTGTAGGTAAGTTCTATTTTTCATTTTATCAGAGAACAAAGATATTATTCTATATTCAATCTTATCTACATACTCTTATTATGTCACTCTAGAAAAATCAGTTCCAAAGCGAATAAAAATGAAAATTTGTCAATTAAAAAAATAACATATCTAGAG